CAGTTTACACTCCTGCCCCCCTCAGCACCCCAGCATCTCATTCCGCTGCATGCACATCAGGCTCTGCCCTCATCATCATCCATGCTGCCTTGGTACCAGCGCAGGAAGCACTGAGAGCACAGAAAAGTGTCTCTTTGCTCTCACTTCTCAAGTCCTGAGACACCATGGCCTCTAGCCTGCAAGTCCTGAGACACCATGGCCCCTGGCTGCAGGGAAAGTGCTGCTCAGCCTCTGTAGTCCTGGGCTGGAACATGCAAAGACAGTTGGCACATATGAGCATTGAGGGGCTGGAGCAGTCTCACGATGCACAGACTCTCCAGAGAATTTAGCTGCCAAACTCTAGTATGTTTCTATTGAGTTTGTGCTAACTGATTTCCAGAGGCTCACAATTTGGCCAAATTTGGGTGGATCTTCACAGGAACAGCAAAAGGCACATTCCTGATGCCAAGGTCTCCCTGACAAATTTCAGGTCTCTGGGTCAAAGTATAGAGGCACTAGATCTCCTCAACAAAATGGTTGTAAGAATTTTTTTATAAATAGACAAAACAATGTACTTTTCCCTAATCTTGTTCCAAGAAACCATTGAACTGTCTTTGCAGAAATTGTTTGGAAAATTTCAACCTGAGACTGATAGACAACATGACGAATTTCAGCCCAGATGGTTAAAGTTTGGCAACGTTATAAGTGACTGCAAATAGGGTCTTATAATGGCAAGTGTTGGGCAGCCTTACTCACAGGTGTCACTATCTGCACCCCCTTTAATATCCTGAATATTTTCTCAATACCGGATTTCCTCTCTATGCTAAATGCAGCTGCCACATTGCTTACATCCTTCCTTCTTTGGTTTCTCTTACCCTTTTATTTTTGAAAGCTTTTCTTTCCTTCCTGCCTGTCTACCTACCTACCAACCAGGTGCACTGAGTCTTGCTGGCACTGAGCTTTGCTGGCCTGTATTTACATTTCTAGTCATTTCACTGCATGGCAGATGAACAATAGCCAAGAACTGCTTCAGTGTCAAGATTCTCTAAAGTGCCCTGCATTTTTGGATTCCCAACTTGAAACACCTTAAAGTGGCCTGATTTTCAGAAGACACCCATCCTCTGTAAAACAGGCCCCATTAAGGTGTCTCAGATTCCAAAGTACCAAAAGTTTTTGTGTGGCCAAAGTCTTAATCCCTGCCTTTCCAAGTATCAGGTCTATGTCTCTCTGTTCCTTTCATGTACCTCTTTACAGACTGAAGAGTTTTGGGGTCCAACAGTAATGAGGAAGTCCTGATAATCTAAATTCACAAAATTGGCTTCTTAATTTTAAGTCTGGGATGAACTCTTAACATTTCTCCTTCTTTGTGACTCCTTACCCAGAAAATCCATTTTTCATATGGAACATTTTTTTCTAAAGACACAACGATCCTCACACCTGTATATTACTTCTTCAAAGCTTTCTTCCCTTTACTATGGAAGACATCGTAAACATCCCATGTTTCCGCTACTGCTCAACCAATGCAATTTTGCACTCATCCTCCATTTTACTAGCCACTGTGGCTTTCACAGACAGTTCAAATGGCAGTTTGAATCTTTTCCAGGTCTCCTCAGCATTCCCCAGAATGTTTAAGGCTGGTGAGGGATTTACATGTTGCACATCGACAGGTTTCAGAGCAACCATTTTTATTTCACCTGTCTCCTCACTGTAGTCAGCATCCTTTTTATGAAACATTTCCAATCTGCATCCTCTTTCCCTGCATTCACCTGCACTCGAGAGAGAGAGAATCTGTGCAAGTCAACAGGACATGCAGCACTGCATGTTGCAACTTACAACTCCTTGCTGAAGTTTTTAACCCATTATCGCACCGCTGGCACATCACTAGATTGCAGCTAATACAAATTCCTGCAGCAAGAAGAAGGTTAACACAACATTTATAGAGCACCTAGCCTCTTGATGATAGGGGCGGATACAATGTTTAGTTCTAACATACAAACAAAGGCGGAAATTCCCAAGTCTTGCCTTACCATTTTATCTGTCACCAGCAACACCATAAAACCCACCCCCTCCACAAAGACCAGAGAAAACACATGAATCCTTCAGCTTGAAAGTCAAGCAACTTTGGCTCTGTCAGACTAAGGGAGAAGTGAAGGTGAGTTCCAGAGCTGAGGGACACTCCCAGAACCCCCCTGACAGCTGCCCCATCTTTTAGCCAGGTGGTTGTAAGCTCAAGCACCTCTGCAGATCTCAGCAGTCCCAGGACCCCATGAAGAGAGGTAGCTCACTGCTAAAGAGGTCCCAAACCACTTAGAGCCAGATTTTCAAAGGTGTTTAGGAGCCTAAAGGAGCAGATAGGCTCCTAGTGGGATTTTCAAAAGCACCTAAGCAGGTTAGGTATCTAACTTCCTTAGGTGCTTTTGAAAATCCCACTATGCCCCTATATACCTTTGAAAATTTAACCCTTATAGGTCAAGAGCAACACCTCCAACTCCACCTGGAAACTAATTCTAACCAACAGAGATCCCCTACCACCTGTGCAATGCACCCTCTCTGAAGCACAGCTTAATAAGTAGGCAGCTGCATTCTGTACCAATGCCAGGTCCCACATGCTCTGAAGGTGTAGCCCATGCACAGTGCATTGCAGCAGTGTCACCTCAGGATGCCACGGACAAAAGATCTGTGCACTCTTTATACAGAGTATGCCCAATAAAGAGTGCTCCTCGCCACAGGGAGCAACTGGGATCTGAACAGCAGCAATGATCCTTAGTCAAGGAGGGGGTTGAGATACCTTCTGCTATTGCTTCCACTGGCCCACAAAAAAAATTGGCTGATCCTCAGGCAGCTTTGCCCTCAGATCTGATACGTTCTCTGTGTTGCCAGACAAACAGAAATCCAGAGCTGAGTGTCTGTGCAGCCCACACCTCCTCAGTGAGGTATGACAGCCCACTGTGAAATTGGATATCAGGCTAGGGCAAAAACATTCCAACTGCTCCCTATCCCCTATCACATCAGATTCCAGCTCCTCACCCACATACAACTCCTTACAGAATATCACCCTTCACCCACCACTTACATTTCTACCACTACCCTACGCTCATCCTAGCCCCTTCACTGTCTTGGATTTGCTTCTTCACTTGTTGTGTGCCCTGTATGCTTGGAACTTCATCAGATTCAAAAAGGATTCAGCATTTAAATAGCTAATGGGAACACCCAGAATTACATTAGCTAAGGTTAGAAACATATAAGGACTATAAATCCTCCTGCTTCAGCCGAACCAGCCACTAACTGATGGGGTAGAGAGGAAGCTTCCCCCAGGAACAGGGGCCTCTTTGATTGTCCATTTCAAGGTTTCTTGCACCTTCCTCTGAAGTGTCTGGTACTGGCCACTATCAGAGACAGGATACTGTACTACAAGGACCACTGGTCTCATCTGGTATGGTACGTCCTATCTTTCATTGTCTGTCCAATTCTCTCCTCATTCAAATCCCACTAAGATCTTCTCCAGAAATGCTCCTCCCCTGAGCTCCTGCCTGGATCAGCATGGAGCTCCCTGGGGACAGGGGGATGTCTTTCACTTGTTCTCTGAGGGGTTTATTCTAGCTGCGGAAGGCTAGCTCATTAGTACCTTGCTCCATGAATGAAACAGAGAAAAGGCACAGATATAGCAAATCCCCAGGCCTGCTTCCAACTGCTCAAAGGGCTTTCACCTTTCACTTCAGCCACCCCCCCCACTCCTCCCAGTGAGAGGGAACCATTCTAATGGTGGCTCAGTCATGGTGTTGCTGACAGGAACTGCCAGAGCTTGGTGCCATGGAATCATAAGGACATCAGCCGGAATCTTACAGATTTACCTGAGATGGTTTCACATGCAGTTCCTTAGGTACCAGGGCCTGCAATGGGGTCAGACTGAAAGAGCTCTTCCTTGGGCTGGGAGTAATGGAATCTGTGCCAGGGTCAGATGGGGAGATAGCTTGGCAGGATGGGGGTAAGGATAATGGAGTTTTTCACTGGCATCAAAAGGGACAAGAGGGCCATCAAGCTGGAAGGTGGGAGGTTAATGGGTCCTGTGCCAGGGTCAGATGGGGACAGACTTCCATTGGGCTGGGGTAAAAAGGGTCCATGCTGGTCACAGAATTCGACAGCATGGCCTGATGCTGCCTTATCATTCATACGGATGCAGCTGATGGATACTGCAGGCAGGGCCGGCTCCAGGCACCAGCTGAGCAAGCTGGTGCTTGGGGCGGCAGATTGTTGGAGGCGGCATTCTGCCCAATCCTAGGGCGGCACGGCCGCCTTTTTTTTTGTTTGTTTTTGTTCTTGTTCCGCTCCGGCCGCCCTGTAGTGGGCGGCGGCCTGGAGAACCAGAGCACCCTGCAGGGCAGTCCTCTTCCTTCCCTCCCCGCT